CAGAAAAAAAAACACTTATTTCAATAAAGTTAGTCACCAAAAACCTAGAAAGCTGAGATCACTGAGCATCATGGGGAACTTCATATCAAAAAAGCATATATATACAAAGCTTTTTTAATACAAACTGCAGCTCGATGATGCTCAGAAGAGGTGAGACTGTAACCGGTAAAAGATTGGCAAGTCCATGAACAGTTATCAAGCGGTTGAACGTGTAAAATGAATCTACCCATAATCCTTGTCGGCCTCAGTTTTGTAGCTTCTCAGGTGACTAATTTTATTGAAATAAGTGTACAGGGAGAAGAGAATCAAAATGAAAAGATAGAAGAGAGGAAATCAATTATTAATTTTGAACTCCAGATTAGGAATACGTGAAGGAGTATATGATTCTCCACTTTCACGTGACTTCATAGACCAAGAAAATTATTTAGAGAGTCTCTTAGAGATTCTCGTTTACGGCAAACGTGAAACGTCAGTTGACCATTAAAAAATTCTTTAAAATTAGTGAAAAGGAATCGCAATGATCTCCAAGTAGTAGATAAAGATAAGAATACGTGTCTTTGTCGAGAAGGTTTGCAAAAGGTTAAGTGATTTGTAGGGAAACGATAAAAACGTGGTCACGTTTGCCGTTTGCGAGAAGAAAAAACGGAAATCTTAATCTGCCTAACAGGTCGTTTCCAGGATTTTTTCCGAGTTGTTCAAGTATTTCTGACCTAACATACGTTGACTACGTGTCTCTAAAAAAAAACATAGATGAGTGCTAATTTTCGCTAAATCAAACATTTTTAGCGTTGCACATGTTTGTAAATTCGATTTCTTCATGTTAAAGTGAGTTCAATGATTAATTGAAAATGCGGCGGCCATCTTGGTTGACATTCAACTGGTAACTTCGTTAGTAATCGCAGCTCGTTTCAGGAATATACTCTAACACTCAAATTTCTTACTCAGAGTCGTGTTGTTGATAGCTTTACATGGACATGGGGATCGGCCTTTGATTGGCTCCGAAAAACTTGAAATATCATGGCACCATTTAATGACACTCTTGGTTGAAAAACTTTATTTTCGATCTGTGAGTTAGCCGTGCCCTGACTTCAGCTGCCGGATCATCTAGAAAGCCTAGATTTTCAGGAAAGTTTTTTTTTTTTTTTTTTGAAAGGTGTTTTGAAAATGGCGTTATAATTATCGTTATATTGTGAGTCATATATCCTTATTTCTCCTTAATTAGCGACAAAACTCAAAACAAAACTTAAAAATAACGGAAATACTTAGGTATCTCTTATGGCCAATTCTAGAATCGCTTTAGGACTAGTAATTTACAGTACTCAGTAGTTTAGATGTGCTTCCATGTGCTAAGTAAGGCTATTCACTGCTGGAAATATATCGTTATGAAGGTTATAATAGGTATATTAAGGCTAACGAGGGGGTTGCTTTCCTGTACTATAATTATCTCACTCAATTTGAGTTAATAGATAGTTTTAGATGGACTTTTTTTTCTCCCCGCAAACGGCAAACGTGACCACATTTTCATCGTTTTCCTTTATTTTACTTTACCTTTTTCAAACCTTCTCACCAAGCGCAAATACTCTTTTGTTTTTCTACTACTTGGACTTTTTTGCGATTCTTTTTCAGTAATTTAAAAGAATTTTTTACTGGTCAACTGACGTTTCACGTTTGCCGTGAACGTAAATCTAAAACTCTCTAATAGTAGTACACCTTGGCATCGAAATCAAGCCTTGTTTTACCAACAAATATCTATTTGGTAAATTAATTAACTAATAATTGATTTCTTTCCTAGTAAGAGGGGTTTAGTAATGGGGTATAGAGCAAATATATATTTTACAAGTAAAAAACAACAACAAGGCAACTGCTTTACACAATGTTCACCAGTTGTGCTGCTCGTTTCAATATATTTTCATTCTAAGAAGATTAGAACGAGCGGAAGCCAATGAAGTTTCATATCCTGTCCTACAATTCCCCTGATGACGAAATCTGGGTCAGAACAAATCACATCCGAGCTCAATTTGTTCTGACCATCTTTGTTATGTTCATCTTCGAATTGGAATAATGTAATTGAACATAAAGAATCTGAATTGAAATAGCGCTCACCACTTCACAATGAGATCGTTGATATTAGTTTTGTGTCACTGAAGCCGGCTTGAAGACTTGTGTCTGTTGAACCGAGTTAGACAACAAGGAAGACGAAGGGAAGGGAAGGAAAGACAAGAAAAGTGAGGGGAAGCGAAGGAAAGAGAAAGAAAACTCAAGAGAATACAACAGAGGGAAAACAAAAAAGAAGGAAGAGAGAAAAAAGAAAAAGAAAACGAAAAAAAACATGATTTCAGTTGGTGAAGTTTTGAGGAAGAAGCATTGTATTCGTCGTATAACTGAGCCCATCCCTATAGCTATTTTTCCTTAGTTGCTTGAATGTGATTTGTCTTTCACCTGCAAGAAGCTAACGACTAATGACTCCCAAATAGTACGAGGAACACCATTAGTAAAGTAACGATGGTCTAATTAGCCATTACACTTCATTCATCGAATACAAAACAGCTTGTGAGATGTCAAAAAATATATATTTAAAGTAGTGGTTAAGACATTATTTTATTTTTTTTTAAATGTGCATCTATAAGGCAAGGGAAAGAGGTAAAGTTCCAAATTTAGAATAATTCAAAAATTACTTAACATACAATGAAAAAATTGAATATATGGTGGCCAAGGAGAAGAATATTATTTCAAAGCATAAACAAAAATGGGAAAGATATATCTCGTTTTAAATCCATAGATGTTTTTTTTTTTCTTTCTGAAAGGCTGACAAAGGCTGGGACGTTGTTGTTGTTGTTGCTGATGTCGTTGTGTGTGGCTGTAAGTGTTGTTATACGCGTTACAGTCAAACAACCTCAAGCGTGAACACGTAGAGGTCATTAATGACTTTATTTTTGGATTCTTGATTTCATTATTCGATTCGAACATTCATTATTGAAAACTACGTGTTCACGCTTGAGGTAGTTTGACTGTAATATGTATTGTGTAATCGTTATTTTTTGCATTTCTGTATGTATTTTGTAAATAATACACCATTGTATGTAAACATCTAGAGGGTAACACCTAGAGTTCCCCTCCTAAATTGTAATAATAATATTAATAATATTAATATTAATATTAATAATAATAATAATAATAATATTAATAATAAAAT